ATTTTTCCCTTCAAATCAACATCATTGTGTTCTACCTTCAGTACATATTTTATCTGCATTTCAATTCATAGACAGACCTTTATATCATAAAAAGAAAGAAATAGTCAAGAACAGGCAAAGTCTAACCTAGCCAGGTTGTTTAAAATGCTGACTCAGCATCATTAAAGAACAAAGCAAACCTCCCCAAATACAAGTTAACATGTCCATTACTAATACATACCAGCAATTATTTATGATAATCAAAAAAAGAAAAACCAACACATTATGAAATGTTCATTTTTCTATAGCATTGCATGTATTTTATGGATAATGTCACCATTTGTGGAAATAATTCCCCCTTTCAATGACCACTTTTCCATAGCTCCCTAGAACTGGGGAATAATAAAATACTTAAAGGGTTTTACTGAAGTATCATTTTTAAGGATCTTTTATTCTAACTTACAGACTTTTCCTTATACCGTTTAAAATATATTTAATGAATTTAAGAAAAGCCTTACATTTTGGCCAAAGACACAGAAAAACAAGGGTGGTTGAACCGTACAAATTATTTAGGGCTCACAGCCTACATGTGCTTAGCTAAAGGACAGTAATTCTGTTCAAGCACATAGATAAAGGGAATCAATTGCAAACAATCCACCTTCTATTCACAATCCCTTGTACTGTAACTGGTCAGGATTCTTCTGAACACCTTGAGTCTTTATGGCATCGCTGGCTTATAGACTACAAAAGTTTCCAAATCACCATTCCTCTTAACATGTGGTATGAAAGAGAGTTCCAGAAGGTTTAGAGAAGAGGTGGGGGCTGGGCACAGGATAGTTCACCACCAAATAGCACAACACATAAAATCAACCTAGGGAAAATGGCGGAGTCAAAAAGTCAAAAGCAGCCACGTCACACAAGAATGCCAGGGAGTCAATGAATACCGAATTTCATGCCAAGAAATTGAAATTTTAAAAAGAAATAAAGTTGGACATAAATAAATATCAAAAGCATCAAGAAGTCAAAGCCAAACCAATGTTTCCTTTTTCCCCCTACGCACGAACCTTTTGTTCTAAACCCAAAGCCCAATGGCATTGAGATCCATAATTTTTTCTGGAATATTCAAGTCTGCAGAGATACTTCCCTTCCATTTGATCACTTGAGTCCACAGAAATAAAGCACCTTTGAAACCAAGAGTTGTTCAAGAATCCTAGTGTCTTATTCAATGTGTCAAAAAAGTACAGTTAAAATAATTAGAATAATTTATCAAATGACAAACACAACAATATTGACTCTCATGAATAGGCAAAAAGGTTCCCGAGACAATTCACAACTAAGGAGATAGAGCACAATAAAAGGCTATGATATTTCAGGAATATTCTGTGTTATAGCTTTGAACTTTATTGCAAAGCAAAAAATATATATTTATATATATATATTTTTATCTACATTTCACCTCTGACATTGTACACAACACGAAAGCACAGGAAACCAAAAAAATCATAATGAGGTAGATACATAACACTTACAGATGGAGGAGACTAAGATTTTAAATTTGGCTTAATACTGCGGTCACCAATGTATGCATTTTCAATACAGCAGCAAGCATTGATTCACAAGGCAAGAAGCCCCGTGGTCTCAAATCCAAAAATAAGCCCCATTAAAAAAATACCTGCTCCAAAATGAAAAATATACATATATATTTCTTTAAGTCAGGGAATCAGATGTGTTCAATTGCAAACCCTGGTGAAATTAAGAAAGTCTTTGTTTTTGCTTTTTGTGAACAGAAAAAACAGAAGTAATTTCAATTTTTCTAATTAGGAGTAACCCATCCCATAGGGTTGTTCTATGTATTCTTGCCAGGTGGGGTTGGAGCACCTTGTGAGCTCAGCAGCCCAACATCGATAGTAAGGGAGTCAGGATTTCTTCATCTTCCCTAGAGTCAGAACTCACTTCTACAGCCACTGTGTCAGGGACCACTTTGAGCGCCCTTGGCACCTGCTGGCTGGAAATCAATTTGGCTGTAATGGATCTGGCCCAGCTTTTCCTCTCTTGGGTCATCTGCACTCATAGTGGTTGAAGCAAGGTCTACCAGATGGGGACATTGAGGTGGTCCCTTTCTCCTTCTCATTTCCAAGAACAACCCTTCCAATGGAGAGCTCAACAGGCCACCAAGAAGGCTTCTATCAGCCTTGATCTTACTGTGAATGCATTTTTACTATAAAATGCTCTGTCAGGCAGTGATAGCTACTGCAGAGACCTCTTTGTCCTCATAGTTCTGTCCTGGATGGAAGGAAGATGGGGTGAGAAGAAAGCAGACATGGACATTGGCTGGCTGAGGCAGTGACTTGGAGAACAGAGCCATGAAACCACCAACCAAAGAAGGGTCAGCCCAGATCAGTACAGGTGGCCAAAAGGGACCTAAGGGACTTGAGCAAGAAAGCCAAGGAGTAACTTTTGGGTTTGTTGGATGTGGCTAGAAAGCTCTAGAGATTCTGGAGAAAATGTGGAAGATACAGGGCTCAGAGGCATCTGTAGGGCTAAATGCTGAACTGAATCAAGCTCCTGGGATTGTTTAGTGGTTATTTTTACTCTGGACATGATCCTGCTTTTGGCGGGATTTGCTGTTGAAAAATAGCTGGGAACAGTTGCAGCCCAGGTTAAGGGGAAGACTGAGGGGTCCTAGTGTAATGCCTGGTTCATTTGGGGATGATGGTAGGTTGGGAGAGGGAACTGATGAGAGAGACCCTTGATGAGAAGCTGTATGAACTTTGGGAGGCATGAAGTCAGCTCTGCTGGGCCAGACCACCCTGTCCTCCCAGAAACTGGATTGTAGGGCCCATAGGTTTGTGCTTTGTCTCCCTGCTGGACTGTGAGTGCCTTAAGAGACAGTCTTTCCTCTGTCTTCCCAATGTCAAGCAGAGCTCCTGCTGTGTGGAGGCCATGATCCCGGTTGAATTGGGTTTTTGGGAAATGCAACAAGAGGATTGGTTTGGGGAAGAGGGGAAGGTATCAGCAGTGCTCTGAGGGCTTTGAAGACCCTGTAAATACATATTCCCCTTGGAAGCAATACCCAGGGCCCTCCTCCTGCCTTCCTCAATCCATTTCAAATGAAGACTTACATTTGAATTTTAAACATAAAACATTGGACCTGATGAATGGAAAGGAATGAGAAACAGTTCATTTGAGTCTGTGTAATAACAGGACACAACAAAGATGAACAGCTGCTTCCAGTGTGGATGGGCTGTGAGGTTGGTGGGAGGATTGCTGTCTGTCTGGAGCATTGAACTTCAGGAGGCAAAGACAAGGTAAGATACAATCTCTACTCTTGCCTTCAGGAGGTTCTGGGCAAGACAAGGCCAAGGGCACTTCCAAGTATCCCAGAGATCATTCATCCAGAGGCAGGGGCTCTGTCCCCTTGGAAGCCCAAAGCAAAAGAAACTAGTCTGGATCACAACAGGCAGCAGTAGGCCAGTTCTAAGGGAAGACTATTCAACTACATGGTACTGAATCATGAATGGAAGCAAGGAGCTTCTGTCCTTGGAGGCCTGTGACAATAAGTTTGATAGTCTTTTGTCAGTGACTGTGTGAGTGAGCAAAAATTAGGTGGTGTTCAAGTCTCCTTCAAACCCTGAGATTCCACTGTTTCTTGTGCTCTGAAGAAGCCCCAGCTACACTCAAAGACTGAGGGATTTTCCCCATGGGTAACCACTGGTCATTGGCAGGATTAGAATAGTGTGTGTGTGTGTGTGTGTGTGTGTGTGTGTGCGCGCGCGCGCGCGCGCACATCCTCACTCAGAGGGTGCCTGGTAGCCATTAAGCTGACGTAATTGCTGTAAACAAACTTATAAAACACGAGACTGCTGGTGGAGGAAGAACATGGCAGTCTTATCATTCTCCTCCCACCAATCTCTCTAATCTCCTCTTTCTTCCTGTCCATTTCTGCTCTTCTCCCCACCACCCTCTCCCTTGTGCTCTTCTCTCATTTCTTTCTCTCTCTTGTTTTTTTTTTTTTTTTTTTTTGAGATGGAGTCTTGTTCTGTCACCCAGGCTGGAGTGCAGTGGTATGATCTCTGCTTACTGCAACCTCCACCTCCCAGGTTCAAGCGATTCTCCTGCCTCAGCTTCCCAAGTAGCTGGGATTACAGGTGTGTGTCACCACACCTGGCTAATTTTTATATTTTTAGTAGAGACAGGGTTTCACCATGTTGACCAGGCTGGTCTCAAACTTCTGACCTCAGGTGATCTGCCCGCCTTGGCTTCCCGAAGTGCTGGGATTACAAGTGTGAGCCACTGCACCCACCTCTTCTCTCATTTCTATTGTTTTTAATCAGTTCACATGGAAGTGAAAATCACTGTCTTCAGTCTGCGAGTTTGATGTCGGTATTTGCATTTGTTGACTTAGGGTCCTAGAGTGGTTTCTGTTCCCAAATCTGAAGGTATCCATTCATCATTCAAGACATTTTATCAAATGTATTTGCCTGGCTCACTGTTTTCATACCTTTCTGGTTTGGATCAATCACAGAGGTTACCAAGTTCATGTCTGCATTTCAGAGATGGGGACACTGGGGCTCATAGAAGGTGATGGCCAGCCCAGGAGCAGACGCCAGTTCCCAGACCCTGGCATGGTCATCCCCAACCTCAGCCTGCCTTCTCCCCAGTCCAGCACAGTCCTTTCTGGACTGCTCCTTCTCGCTGCTGAGTCACAGCCACCGTGTGCAAAAACTTCCTCAGAACTGACCCTGTGAAGCTTAAATTTCTTAATTTGTTCTAACTCTAAGTTCTCATCCCCTCTATATCCTTAGGGAAATAATCCATTTATCTGAAAGTCATCTCTCAAAGTCATGGAGAACAAAAATAAAACAAGACAGATAGGAGACACTGAAGTTCTCAGGACAACCAAAACTGACACCTCAAAGTGCACCCAGGAAGGCTCCAGTTCCATGGGGCTCCTCCAGAACATAACTGAAGGGGTAAGGCTCAGGGTGACCTCTGGAAAGCAGGCATCCTTTTCCACGGTGACACTGTATTTCATTAATCGTCCCTGAATTTTTCCCACTCTTCTCCTAGCTTCTCTGGCCAACTGAATGCAAACAAAACCGCTCAGGCTTCCTGGATTTAGTCCCAAACATTCCATGCCAGGCACTGTGAGCTCCCTGGTGTTTGTGAGCTATGGGGAGAGGGATGAGATGGAGCTCACCTGGAAGAGGAGTAGGACCACTAGGGATGAAGCAGAACTGAGATACCGAGGTCTGCCCCCAGCTGAACCCCCAACTGACCATGGGACCCTGTGCAAGTGTGAAGACTCCCTGAGCCTCGGTTTCCCCATTTGTAAAATGGGGTGGGATGTCTCACCTCACCAGATGATCCCCAGGATTTAGAGAAGATGATTTGTATGGAGGCATCGGGCAGAGAGCCTGATACATCCGTGGTCCTTGGTTACTGTCAGCAGATTCTTGGTCCTCTCGTCCTCCCCAAGAGGGCTCTGCTCTGTGTCACTGATGTCACCTGCTGACACCACACTGGACTGGTTCTGACACATGACATTCCTGAGACCCCAGTAATTCTAAACGCTTCTTTCCTCTAACGGAACTGTCTCCTACTCCTATCAGGGGAAGCACAACATCTCTGACCAGATTCCTTCTTCAGAAGCAGCCAGCCCTGCAGGGCTCTGGGCCGCCCCTGACCTCTCTGGCCTGGCATTCAGGACTGCACATCCATGGGCCACGTAGGATCTCAGGGTTCAGTGGATGGCAAGAACCCACATAGCACAGGGTCAGACTCATCCACTCTGATGGGGAAGATTTTTCCAGCAAAGGCTCTGTTTACACTGGGAATGAATTGTCAGGCTTCTGAACAGGCAGGTTTCCTGGGTCTAGATTCAGGCAGAAACTCAACAATGGCACAGACTGCAGCAGTGGGCATGTCCCTTCCCAGAGAGGCAGGTTGTCACAGTCCCCGAATGGGTATTGGGCACTTTGATTTAGCTCTGGGCAAGCAAGGAGTGAGGGATCTCAACCACTTTCAACTTTTGGCCACTCTTCACTCTGCCCAAGGTGAGTGAAGACCCAGAGGCTTGAGTGCCGATGGGGCAGGCTAGAGGGGACTGGGGTCACAGGCCCAGACCCTGGCAACCTCCAAGAGGCCCCTCTAAATCTACAGCTGATTTTTAGGGAAGGCCAGGAGTTGGGAAATTCCATGGTGTCCTGGAACAGATCCCCTGTGGACTTCCTGAGCCTTAAAGACAAGTCAGCTTTGGGGAAGCTTCTTGGGGTCTGGTTATGCAGGGCCAGGCCCCAGGACAGCTCTGAAAGTCTCCAAAATACTCACTTGAAGGAGAAGAGGAACCCTTTATTCCTATAATATATAAGGAAGAAAACCAAAGAATGAATGAGAAATTCCCAGGATGGGTCTCAGCAGATGTGATCTATGGAACAAGACAAAAGTAAATAAATAGCTCTTTGTTCAGATCCCCTGAGTAGCTAAGAGAATATGCAGGACTGGGGGAGGCAAGGAATGAGGCCACTAGAGACAATGCACCTCATCAAAGGACTGACTTCCTTCTCCGTTCCAAAGAAATTTCATCTAAGCTCCCACCCGCCGGCCGCCGAGTGGAAGCATGTTGTGCTGGAGCAGTTAGGCAGTGTCTGGATTTCTTTTTTTAAAACTGTCTTGGATGGCTCGGCCACCTTGTGCAAGATTTGTAAACCATGTGCAAAACTCAGACTTGTGCAGACAACCAGAAAAGTTGCAAAGCTGCCTTCTGCATACAGGGCTTCCCCTGCCGAGTTTGTGCTTTGTGTAACCCTGTGACCTCTCTTCTTTCTCTCAACTATTTTTTAAAAACCTCTCAAAGTCTTGCTCAGCCGAACTGGCTTGATGGTAGTTTGTAAATGTGCTAGAAACTGCTGCTCTCCTCTGCAGCTATCAGTATGTTTCAAATGCTTCCAAATGGCACGCAGTCTAGAACCAATTTCCTGAGCACTTTTGACATTGGGCTCTCAAAGATTCCCTTTATATCTAACTTTCTAAATGAAAGCAGATGCATTAACCCCACGCGGGCAAGTTGTCATCAGTGGCTGGCGGGGGAGGAGAGGTATTAGGAGTCCATGGTGCAACAGAAGGGACATGGGATTTGGCACTGGGTGGAGTAGCTAGGAAGGACACAGTTGGCCTAAAGCTAAGGCAGAAAATACTAGTCCATCCTCTGGGGATAGGTTACTCCATAGAGATGACCACAAATAAGGAAAGAAAAACACCTAGGTCAGGTCCTCCCCCGAGTCAACCAGATTCCCTGCCATGGTCTTGACTCAGGACCATGATGTAGGTACTAATTCAGCTGCAGGTACACACGATCTCCCTCCCCCGGTCCCAGAGGTCGCATGCTCATTTTTCCACTTAAGCCAAATTTTTCTTCTTGCCTTAAGTTAACACATCCCCAAAACATATGTAAAAAGTAGAATCTATAAAGAAAATAAATATTTTGAACCAAGAAGAGGATGAAAACAAGTTGTAAACATGGAACCGAAACAGAAAATACACATCAGTTCACTTACAGAACCAAACGAGGTTACATTGAACCATTTCCAATTAAAGAAAAGGAAATTATTTTTTCTTTAGCTTTTAAATTTAGGAAAAGAATCACTGTAGCATGCTCACCTTGAACCAGGGATTGGATATTGTGGTTCTTGTAGAAAGGAAAAAAATCTGTGAGGGTTATGGAAAACAGTTTGGAAATCTAAGGTGAAGGGGTCGGGAGAATAACTGGAAGATTGCATAGTTGTGAAACAGTGGCTTCTCATCAAGGTGAACAAGTGCAACATCTGATAAAATAGCATTTGATATATATTTTTTCCTGTTCATTTCTGTTTGCGGTATTTTGTTCTCTGTCCACCAGACATTTCATACACTGAAACATATATACAGTACACACACACACACACACACACACACGCATGCTAGCACGAAACACCTGAAGTACACACCCATCCTTTGAAAGGACCCCACACCACTAGTTCTGGCAAAGTTTATATTCACCCATCATATACTTTTATCACATCCTAACCCACTTCTGGTCAAAACTCATCTCTTGGATTCTTTCATTAGTAACTAAAGGGGGTGGGGTGTGGTGGAAAAGGATGGGGACATGAAGGAAAGCCTCAGAAATGGCTCTCTTCTCTTGCTGAACTTCTGTGGAAATGCCTCTCCTTTTGGTTAGGGGGACACTATTTTTTAAGAGATGGGAAAAACAACTGCCTCTTTTTAAAAAAAAAAAAAACTTTCTTGAGGTAAACATTATTAGTTAACGCCCTAGGCAGGGGACAATTTTACAGCACTGTAGAGAAATCTTGGAATAAAGAAGAAACAACACAAAAGCATAACATCAGTGCTCCGAACATTTAAAAAGCACATCTATGTCTTGATTTATTCCCCTTTCCTCTCATTCAGCCTATTCCTTCTACTAGCATGTGGAACAGAACAGAAAGATGAATGATTTCCCATCTCACACTGGGCATCCCTTATCCCATCCCCACCGTAAACCTCTCTTGTACACATACTAAAAGTTGTGAATTAACCGACAAAATAAAGATGACCATACTGTACATTTTCCCATTCTATCTGCCTCAAGCATATATATATGTATATAAATATATATATGATAGTTTACATTAATATAAGAAATAGCAAAGGTCTTTTCGTTACACTTTATACAGAACCTCTGCATCTTATCTTTATTTTCTATTCTCTCTGTCTCACTTTTTGGATAAACAATTGGCTATAGCAATCTATAGTAAGGCTTCACAGAAAGAATTCTGCATGTTTTGTTTTTCTCTAAGAACCAAAGTATATAAAATGAGGTTTGATTCTAGCACCTTATACAGTATTAGTGATGTTGTTCCCTTGGGAGAAATTAGCACTACCCAACGCCCTAGGCGAATCTCCACCAGTTACAGAATATTTAAGGTATTGCCAAAGGCAGGACAGAAAACATAGCAGAGATGGAGAAACGAGAGGCGAACAAAACCAAACCCCAAGATTTAAGTCTTAGCAACATATAAACAAAATCTTAAAAACATGTCAAGTTGCTGTCTCCAAATTAATAATGATCTAGTGATTCAGTATCATCAATTAATCCTTTTAAGTTACTCTTCCCCATGAGGTAAGTAAATATTATGATACTCATTGTAGATGGAGAACCCACGTGTGGGCTTTATGCAGGTCACAGGGAAAACTGAGTCAGGACACGAAGTGAGGGATGCCCAACTTCCAGCCTCTTATTCCCAAACTGTCCCCTGCCACCTTTGATTGGTGAGTCAAGATTTTGGGGAAAGCAGCTTATTGGCCACTAATGGGGAAGCAAAACAAACAAAGAATTAAAAGAAATATATATCAGCACCAAAGGAAGTTCAAAAGAAGCTGCACTTTGCTCCCTTATCAAATATTCTGTGCTATGGAGACAGCAACTTTCACAAGAAGGATGAAGAAAACTTGTCACAGGAGAGTAACCCATCTCATCTGTTGTGCCTTTCCCAAATGTCAATACCCTCAAGAGAGCCATTAGTTCCAGTTGAGTAGTATATATTTTTGCAGAGGAATGATCAACTCCCACCAAAGCTGCATCAGAACCTCAATTATATAGTTATATAACTATAGTGATATATCTATATCTATATCTATGTATATATTTATACATTAAAGTCTTTTACTGCACTGGCACATAATACCATTTGCTGGCATTGCTGTTTGCTGCAAGTGGCCGCCTTGAGTGGAGTTACACAACAGAGAAGCACCACGAGAAAAGGCACCACAAGGTTCGAGAAGTTAAATTGTGTGTTGTCACTGCCCTGACCTCGCCATGGTGGGGGAACAGAAAAGTCTTTTGAGCAACTGATTCAAAAGCTCCCAGCCCATGTGCATCTGTCCCTTCAAACTCAGCAGGGAGAGAGGGAAGAAAGAGCATGACGTTGTTGTTTTTAATGCAATTTTCTTTTTGGCTAATAGAAAAGAAAAACAGTTTCTTTTTTTTCTTTTAAAAATAAGGGGTCTCAGACACTGAAAACCCAGCTCTCCTAAAACAGGAAGAAAAAAAAAAAAAAAAAAAGTCTTGTGCTAAGGAAAGCCCTACATGGAAATCTGTCTTTCTAGCATAATTACTCAGTTGCAATGCAATTGAAAAAAAAAAAAGAAAGAAAGAAAATGAAGGAAATTACATCCATAGGCACAATTTGCCACAAATAGCACCAGGTCTAGATTAATGAGGACAGACAGATGTCCACATCTGTCCACATAGCTGAGAACCATGGGTGTTGACTTTGAGTCAACATTACTCCATCCTCATAGTCTGGCCAAGAAAATGGAAGTCATTGGCCATCTGGAGCACCAAGAGTTAAATGTGCCACTGATGAACCAGAAAAGGAGAGGAGGCAGTGGAGGACTGCAGAGTGGATATTAAACGGCATTTTAATTTTTATTAGCATACTTGCCGGCCTTGAAATATTCCGTCCTAGGTTTCTCCTTCCAGGAAGGGAGCCACGTCCCACGTGGGAATGAGGAACCTGTATCTGTGTCAGGAAGATCTGAACATGGTGTGGGGGATACAGGGGCCCAGCGTTCTCTCCAGTCATTGTCCTTCCTGACTCTAGGTCTGGGCTGGACAAGGGAGGTCAACTGGCCATGCTGGTGTGAACTGCAGGCTCCCACGACTTACTTTCCACTGTCCAAGCTGGTGGTGACAAGATAGGAAGACCCGGGGCCAGGATCAGAATGGCTCCCTGTGCTGGGGCCTTTCTTCCCAAATGTGGACCAATGCTTCTCTCAAAGACAAGAGGCTGCTTATTGGGTGGGGTGGGGTCCCACCCAATAGCCTCTGTGATATACTTATTTCCTTGAGCTGGAGGTTTTAGCTAAAATAGGTTTTCAAATTCTGATGCTTGTCTATACCAAAAGTGATGCTCCCAAGTGCAGTATAAGGAAAATAAATGATTCCTATCACCTTCCAACAATCTGAATTATTTACCCAAGTCTACTTTTGCTGTGTGGAAAACAGGGCCAAACAAAAGACTTCTGCCAGACCAGTTCTCCATTTGCAAGGAGGTTTCCTTAGCCCCTTCATGGGAACAGAAAAGTCACCTCACCACCACCTCCCTTTCCCTGGGTCTCCTCTTAGGCTATTTTCCACAACACACCTACAATAACAGACTGGAGTGTCTGGGAGTCTTTTCCTGTGGTTCTAGGACAGTGGTCTCTGCCCATTTTGCTGGCTTCCATGCCTCTGCCTTTCCAATGATCTAAGGTTCTTGGTACTCCAAGAACCAGTCCAGCAACTGTACTACGCGAAGTCTAAATGGCAATGTGCATTCTGAGCTGCTAGGAGTGGGAAGGGAAGATTTTGCTCTTAGCCTTTACACCTTGGGAATTTTCATTCAGTACTTCCCTCCCCTCCGGCTTTATCTATGGGCAAAGACTATGTTTTGCATGTAATAGGTGCTCAGTTAAACTAATTAAGAATAAGGGCTTCTTTCGCCATCCAAAGGGTGCATTAATTACATAGCATGTCATCAATCACATGCATAAGGGCTCTCCCTGACCTGTCACACAGGGTATCAATAAGCAATACCTGTGTAGTTTGAGGGTGATCAAGGGCAAGGTATTTTCTAGCCCTCCCCTAAAATTTTGGCTAAGTCACTTCCACAGAGATCTTCCCCAGAGAGATGAAGGCTAGAAATTGGCTCATTTCTATGCTTTTAGGTCGAGACTTTGGTTAACAGGTGGTGGTCATGAACCTGCATCTAGGAAGGTCCAGCTCACAGGCTTTCTCCTTAGCCTATAGTTTACTATAGACTATTTTTAACACCAGCAAACTCCAGAGTAAAGGAAAACATGGTATGAGCTTTGGAAGCTCTATTCTACTCACTCAGCTCTTCTCAGGATGTAAGAACCAACCATGAGGATTAGATACATGGAGGCAAAGGGAAGAAGGAAAGAATCCCAGCTGGAAAGGGTGAGTTTCATACGGTGACTAAAACTTCACACAGTGAGCAAACTTCCTGTCCTAGAGAAACTGGAAGAGGAACAGGGGCACCCGCCATTAGCTTGGAGTTGCCAGGTTCTCAACCTTTCCTCGTACGGATGCGTGCTTGCTCAAGCACAGGTTCCATGGTGGCGGGGGGGAAATATTTGGAATCTCAAAAGTAATGATGTTTATGACTCTGCTTCCTGAAAACCCACAAATACACACACAAACCTGTTTGTCAGACAGCCCATGCTCAGGGTGGACAGGAGCAGTGAGACTATTTTGTTAGCCCTTTAGGGAAAATTACAAATTATATGCACTCGAGGCTTTGAATTACCTGAGAAGTTCAACTAGTTTTGCTTTAGAGAGCGTCAGTTAGCAGCGTCTTCAGCCTTACAGAGTGAACATGGAAAAGCTTCTTGGGAGAAAAGTATCCAAGAAAAGCTAAGCAAATTCAAAAAAGAAGCCCATGAAAATCACCATCGTTATGAGAAGAGAGATTGGATTCCAGTCTCCTGGCTTCTGCTGGCTGCCTCCCTGCGGCAGGTGGAGGGGTTGAGAGAGCCCGTGACCAGGCACAGGAGAAGCCCAAAATGACCCTGCAGGGTGAAGTCAGTGAGGCCAGAGCCAGGACCTTGTGGCCTGTTCTCAGGCGCACACAGAGCCAGAAAGTGCTGGAAAGTTCAGCCCAGCTGCAGGGAGAAAAATGGATTTCCTTTAAACAACAAACCACCACCAGACATCAGGAGACGACAGTGACACCCAAGGGGGCTCCTTTCTTTCTTCCCCTTCTCTCTCTCTTTCCTCGCTTCCTTCTTGCCTTCTTTCCGTACTCTCCAAACCCCAACTTTTTTTCTGCAACAAATGTGTAATTTTTTTAAAGTAAAAGAAAACCACCATGTAGAAGGCAGGGTGGCACCATCAACCCTTCCAGCATGACACTGTCATCTTCCCATGTCCTTTTCATATTTCTTTCTTCCTACCCCAAGAAGCCAATTTTCTGTTACACCAGAAAAACCAAACAAAAAGATTTCTTAAAAACATGTCTTGTCACAAAAGAGTCCATGTAAGGAAAAAGATAATGAAAACTGTGTACAATGGGGATCAGGGTTGGAGACAAGAGGTTGTGGAAGCTGGAATGTATTTGGCCATCGTAGGGAAAGCAGAGAGTCAATTTGTTGTCCTCACTACTGCGGCTACCATGCCTGGTGAAGGGAGAGGAGATGGAGGGGAGGAGACAGGACGGATGGTGCTGGCACGACCGTCTGGAGCCACTGGCTGTATGCCACACCCTGAGTGTCAGGAAACACAGGCTGTGCACATGTGACAGTTTAAAGGAGGGGATCCAAAGTTACCTCTGGGGATCTGGGCTTGAAAGGGTTTCTCCAGGCTTGGACAGACCCTGTGATTGCCTCACACCTGACACCAGGTCTTCCAGGTGGACTCTTATGAAGCCCCTGCCTGGATCGGAAACATCCAGAGACCATGGATCCCAACACTGCAGGTGGCCTCCCTTGCTCCTCCAGCCAGAGGAGGAGGCCCAGAACCAGACCCTGCCCCAGAAAGAAACTTAGGGTTCAGCGTGCCCTGCTGCATGAGCACCTGCTTCCTCCAGCTCACCTGAAACGCTCTTCTCCCACATAACCAAGTAGCGTGTCGCTCCAGGTCATGCCAATTCTGTCGGAGGGCAGAAGGGGCTCTGGGTGGCTATTCATGCTGTGGGCACCTGGGTTTCTGCTGAAGTCTATCTGGAGGACCCCAGAATTGTCAATGCTGCCGCTGCTGTGGGGAGGTACCCAGAGCTGCTGAAAAATGCATTCTGCCTCCCACAAAGCAATTGCCCTGCAGTGTCCCCTGTCTACCAGAGATGCCAGGAGGACTTCATATTTAGGCAGGGAAGACACTTGCCCCGAGTCCTCATGGCTTCAAGGGGCCAGCCTCCACTTCACCTGCAGAGATTGGTGGTGCAGAGGAGCTGGACAGAGCAGGTTTGGTTGTCACTGGCCAGAGATCTTGGCAGCCAAAGATCATCTACCACTGGCCAGTCTCAGAGTGGTAACGTCCAAGCTTACTTGTCCACAGCACACTCCCCTCTTTTCCCCTACTGTGGCGACCACTGCGCTAATAGATCGGATGTACTCAGTGTGATTTACATTCCAGAATGTCCAGGAGTTGTTTAGAAAACTGCTTCCTGTGGATCCCAGGTTGTTCTGTGAATCTGCTGAGAATACTGGTAGCAACTAGAGAATCTCTCAAGTCCCAGTAGAACCCTGCTATTGGCTTTCTGTCACTTATGGAGGAAGTGAAGGCATATACCAGCTCAGGGGTTTCTTCATGACCCTGTGCCTGGGAGAAAGGAAAAAGCCATCTAGCCTAGGTCAATTTCAAGCCCGGCAAGAGCCCTAAACATCAGAATACTCTGTTTCATCAAACTGTTTCAGCCCTTTAAGAAAAAGATACATATGAATACATACAAGTAATATGCCCAAGACAGGCACATTTATGTATCTCGATGGATCAATAAGCTTTGGATGTAGTTATATGGTCATGCTCTCCTCTGTTCTCATAATGTCAGATCATCTCAGAGTTTATGTGGTTTTCAGCTCTCTTTCTCTCTCTCTCTGGAGTTTAAAAATCAATGCTAATTTCAAACAAATACAAACGAAGCCATCAACAATGAGCAGGTGCCATGAGGTTAGCGGTCAGCAGAGGGAGATGTGAGCAACCACATCACAGGGATTGTTGTTATTTTGAAGAGCGAGTGCCCTAGACAGCCCAGTCTTTGGGAAAACAGCGTTTTCACTTACTGGTCCACATTAGCTTCACAGGTTATCAGTGAGTGTCCCAACTGCCTAAGTAACATCACCTGTTCCTCTCTCCAGCCCTCCACTTCTTAAAGGCTCCACGAGGACCCAGGGCCACGCCTTTTAAAGGCACATGGATTTAAAAAAAGGAAGAAGCAGAGCCTGTCCTGGGCTTCAGGCAGGCTAGGCCCAGGGCAATGCTGGCGGCCTAGGGCAATGCTGGAGGCCCTCTCAGTGGGGGTGAAATGACAGCTCCTGCAGGGGTGGGGGCGTATTTGGTGGAAGCATGCAGCAACAGTGGTGTCAAGGCAAGTGAAAAGGCTGCAGCGGTTGCATTTGGACAGACAGCTCGGACCTGAAGCAATGTGCGTGGAAGCATGGGCCTCGAAGAAGGCAGGCCTTTTGGAGTCAACGCTGGGGCCCACTGGTGAACACAGGCTGGAGAGGGGCAGAGACGTGGCTGAGATGCTCAGGATGATCTGGGCAAGTTGGCAGCACCAAAGCTGAGGCCCCCCTTTCCTTGAGCCTGGGTTTGGTTAAAAGGAAAGGAGCGTAGCACCTCAGCACTACCTCAGCTGCCTAAGGAAACTCACCACGGGCCTCCGCAGTCCCGTGTCCACGGTACAGGCCACCATGGACCTCTGAGTCTCACGTCTCTTCCAGCAACCAAAGAGCAAGTCAAATCACCTTCCCTTTCTCCCAGTCCTTTCTTCCCTCTGAAAGGAAAAGAAAGTAACTCTCTTCTTTCCTTAAAGGCTGGCATCATATCATGATTTTCAAAATAACAAGTGGCTTCTCTCTGGTTCTAGTACATAGAGGAAGCCCTCACTGGCTTCTGAGGATGTTCTTCTGTGGCAGGAAGATTTCTGAGGGTTCAGGGAGACTGCCCTAGCAATACTGAAAGGACATTCCTAAAGCTAAAAGGCTCTGGGAGCATTTCCAGAAAGCTTCGATTTGGGGCTGGAATTCCAACCTGCTTAGCTCAGTAGGTGGTTTGGCTCTTTGTAGAAATTTGTGAACCTCCAGCATGGCACTGTACAAATAATTTGAATCCTTCAACGTGTGCTACAGTTTAGAATTCAGACTTGGTTCACTGAGTATGTTTGGGAAGGGAAGAACTTTTTGCACATGGAAAAATGAATGAGAAATTTTAAAAGGCTTTGCTTTATGTGAGGCAGCTAAGAAATTGAAAACTCCTCCCACCAAAAAAAAAAAAAAAAAAAAATGGCAGTCACATGTTTTGATTTGTTTTCGAGTAAAGACCCTTGTCTTTGGAAGCCAAGACTTTCCAGCAAACAACAGTATACCAGACTCTTCAAGGAAACCAACCAACCCCAAATCCCCAGCTATTCCAGGACAGCATAAGTGAATTGTTCTCTGGGTCTGAAGACAGAAGAAAAAGGCTATGGCAAAACTGAAGCTGAGCCTATAAGGAATAACTGAAATAAAGAACCATATGTGCTGGTCACAAGGAATTTTCACTGCTATTTGCCTTCATTTTCCCACAAAGGAAGTAGAACAACCAGTATTTGTTTGCTTCCCACAAGAGCATTTTCTGATGGAAGCCAAAGAATTTAAAACCCTTCCTTCTTGTCTAAATATCTGAGAAGGAAAGGAGAGTAGCTTTTCTGGGGCAGAAACAGAACTCCTTTCTTGACCCACATTGAGACAACTCTGTTATTCTGTCCTCTTGGAATCTTTTAAAATATATCCATTAATCGAAAGAGAGTGGAGGAACTGGATTATGTTCCCTTCCTCCACTGCACCTTGCACACAATTGGTGTTTAGATTTTTAAATAGGAAGCAAGCCTGATCGTCGTAATACTTTTATCTTCAAAGCACTTTACCAGTCATGATTACTTAATCCTCACAACACCCCTGTGAGGTAGGTAAACGATATTCTTCCCATTTTACAGAAAGAGAAATTGGCCCTAAGAGTGACTTGACTTAGGTCTGTAGAAGGATAAAGTCCTGGATTTTTTACTTCCAATATCATAATCTGTTCTTGAGAATGTGCCTCTCCTTTCTTTAGATGTTTTCTCTGACCCTTTTGTTTAAGAAATAAAATGCTTAAGCATGTCACTCCGTAAAATCAATTTCCTCTGTTTGAAAAGAATACGTTTTTCTCGTTTTGCCCCAGAGAGTATAGGAAGGAATGCCTAGATGGCCACTAATGTTCTCCTCCCACATACTTCCGGGAGCCTCCCTCTTCGTCACTATTCTTCCTACCCATCTACTGAGTCCTGTTGTTCCCCATGGTTCCATGTGTCCATCTTCGAAGTTCTTGTTCTCAAATTTGGGACAGTTCATTCACTGTCCATCCCAGTCAAAAGCGGGTGCTGATGAGAACGGAGAATCAGGTATGAGGTCTCATGTATTCTCTCCTTTTGTTACTATCAGAAATACCTTGTGGAAATAAACCATCCCAGCAGGACTTGACCTGTCCACAGATCAGTCAGATGCACGGTCAAGCACAAGTCATTCCTGAATTCCAGACTATGATCTCGTCCCTTGTGCTGCCAAAACAATCATATTAACCTCAGAGAGCAGGGTCAGAGCAGGAGGGAAAGGAGTTCTGGTCAGGGCTCCGCTGGGAATGAGCAGGAGGCGTTGGCAGCAGCCACCGAGACCTGCTCGTGTGAGCTCCATCTCGTTTAGGGACAGTTCCAGGAGGGGCCTTTTATTCTTGGTGAGAATTTCTATATCAAAATACACCTGAACTCCAAGGAAAAGGCCAGAGCCAGGTTGACTGATGCAGAACAGTTGAAGTTTCTGGAATTTTTCTTTCCAAGAAGGTTCTCAGAGCTGATAGAAAATCAGCCTCACGGCTGGCCCTCCTGGAACCCCAGTGCCTCCTGGGCTCCCACCTGCCCTCACTCCGGGTTAGGTCCGAAGAAGAGCAGAGGCTCTCAGGACAGGTCTGTGTTCTTGCTCAGAGTGTATCTTGGTATTTGAATTGATAACAGTCAAACCATAGTCAAAAGAAAAAAAAAAGGAAAGAAAAAGAAATTCAATGTAACACTTCCAATTGAATTGTAAGAAAAAAATACCTTGTTTTAGAAAAAAAAATTAGTGCTATTCTCCAGTCCTGTTTGTCTCTGAATCCTTGCCTGCAGGTTCCGCTCAAAGCACACAAGGGAGGGAAGAAAACCCACCATTGGGACCCACATTTTGGCAGATGGAACAATTGTTTAAAAAGAAAAGGATTCGGTGTTTTTCTTTTTCTGTACTCTGCAGAGAAGGAAAGAGAAGGTGAGTCCATTTGATGAGGTGAGCATCAAGATTGAAAAAGATTGGAAGGAAGAACAAAGGTGAGAGAGATTTCCTGAAGAGCTTGCAACCACCTTAAAAACAGTCTCTAAATACTCTCCACTCACTCCTCTTGTCTGCCCAAAGCTCAATGAATATCAGTGTTCAAATGCATCTTTCTATACATTCTCCGATACTTTAGGAAGAATTAACATCAGGAGATTTGGTGTTAGAATTACAAGTGGCCGGCTCAAGATAGGTGACCAAGGGTCACCTGACCAGGGTACCACTGACCTGGGTTCACAGTGCTATGAAGTCTCTAAGAACTACAGGTATGTGAGACTCCTCTCTGTCCCGCCGTGCTCCCTGTTCATCCTGTGGCTTCCGGGTGCCACCGCACCTGGAAAACACTCTCTCCTCCTGTGGTTCCATTTCCCAAGAAATGAGGTCACCACTTTTTCTCATTTGACGGCTTTGCTACAGGCAACATGACGAATCCTCCAAGCATCCCTGAGCAGGAGAGAAGGAAGAGGTTGGCCTTCTTTCTCTCCACTTTACAGATGGAGAAACCAAGGCACCGAGAGGTGAAGTGAGTTATCCACAATCACAGTGGGGACCCTGAATCAGCCTGTGACATTTCCTGATCTTTCTGGGTCTAAAGGAAAGCCCCTAGGAAGTCTGCAGCTAAAACAAATCTCCCGAGCCCACTCTAGCCCGAGGATCCCAGAGCTATGTCGAAGATGGACAAACAGACTGGGGAGCTCATCTAACAGATGATGGGTTGTCTGTACCCACCGTGACAGATGGCCAAATGTTGCTTACAGAGGGATGTGCACTGGATTACCAATTGGCACTACACTAAAGGGAAATTATTTCTTTGTCCTCACTGGTTTGAGAATGACTTTTAGGGGTAGTTGGCGTCCTGGGATTTGTGTTAGGGAATGACAAGGGCAGCATCTCCTCCTGGGACCTGCGTACTGTTCTGCATGTGATGGGGCAGCCTGGGGCAGGTGTCCCTAGGTCCTGCCTGCTCATGTCCAATGTGGTCTATTCTTAGCTCTTGACACAAGGTGTTGGCCAAGAGCAGGAGGAACTCCCACAGTGGTCCGTCTGCTGCCCTCGGGAGCTGTCATTAATAGCACTCACGACCTTTGTCTCCAGGATATACCAGCCATGGTCTGCCAGCCAGTGCAAGGAAAGCCACAGGAGTAAGGAGCAGATGGTGCCAGGGAGAGCTGAATAAGGCAGACAGGACCAGGCGAGCCAAGGAAGGAGGCTGCAGCAGGATCAAGGCAGCACCCTTGTCTTTTGATATTTGGCCAACAGCATGAGATGCAGTGTTTAAGCAAGAAGTGAAATGTTTAGAATAGCTAAGGATGGGTGAGAAAGGAGCTTCTGTTGCCACCGCAAGAATTCAGATTAAGCATCATCTTTTTTTCCCAGTGAAGGGGGATAGAAAAAAATCTCTGGGAGGGTAGAGTTGCCTTTTTATCTTTTTACATGCTTTGAAATGGGGACAGGCACACATGGATTGAGGATGCTGGGGGAAGTTCTCTTGCAAGCTCATGGGTTTGTAACCTGTGATTGGCTGGCCCCTGCCACTTCCGTGTTCTGGAGGTTGAACCGTGGGTGAGAATGGAATGTTGCTTCTATGACAATGGCCAGTTTGGGCTGAGGAGAAAGGGACAGAACCTTAAAGAGGTTCCCATTGTGCTCATCTGGTTCTCAGCTGGACCTTGATAAGAGGAACCAACATTGATTTACGTTCACTCCCTAAGGGATAACTGTGTTGTGCTTGATGAAGGGGGCTGCCCAACAGGGTCTAGTGACCAATAAATGTTTGAAAGTGAAATGAATAGAACTGTTCCCTGTAAGACTTGTCCAGCCCCTGGGCCCACCCCTCTGGGTCCTTCCATTTCACTCCTGCAGTCTTCCCCAGGTCTCCCTTAAGCTCCTCCAGATTTCCCTGACGGTTTCCTAGTTCACACTGAGAGTATCACATGGATCTTGGTGAAATTAATGGCAATAAGCTCTCTTCCTTTTACATTATCCGAATTTAAATCTCAACCTCCACAACCAAATCTGGTTGTGTTAATATTTTTCAGTTTGGCAAAGAAAAAATAGATTTTAGCTTCTTGGTAAGAAAATCAAATTAAAGGTACACAGGGAGATTCCCCTCCTTCAATCATGAAGCCACCATCCAGAGCAGCTGTCATCACACATACAAGGCCTGGAAGGGCTCATTTTGAGTAAGGAGCCACTTTTCTTGGCAAAGAAAATGCTACCATCTGTGCCAAACGAATGCGGGGTGACAGTCCCCAGCCCAGCTCATCCGAGCGAGCCAGGAGCATGAGAATATGGCCTGCTTCATTCTCTTCTAGGAGCTGATATCCTTTGCTCCAAGCCCAAGGCTCTGAGCCTGCACACTGTCATGCTCTTCTTGCTCTGTCCCTGGATCATGGAGAGAGGACCCTGTGCTAAGGTCTGGGGGCATCAAAGCTTGGGGTTGGTTCTAGCCCTTCCATGAGCAAGCAGCAGACCAGAAGGAGAAAAGAAAGGTGGTGTTTCCTCTACCTGGCTTGTGAAGACTGCAAAGGGGTTTAGGTGTACAGCAAGAAGTGAGGCCATGGCCCACCCAGTGCAGCTTCAAACCAGATCCACATCAGGGACCTTCTTTTCTGCCCCCATGACTGTGCAGTGGGAGGGAATAAAACTGGAGGAAGAATGGAGAAAATGATGTAAATTGGCGCTTTTCTAAAACCTGTAAATTCTTTCTGAGAATCAGACTCATATCCGGGCAGGGTCAGACATCCATGGCATGAGACGCCCCCCAGCCAGGGGAATCACCTTCATGACCACGGGCCAGACAGGATCATGGGATTCCGAGGGGCCACCGCTGTGGAGGGACTGGGTTAGAGCCATGGGGACCATGGGGTGGTCTTGAATGATTCTGTGCCTGGGAGGTGTGGTGTGGGGGATCCCCAGGCCATGGGGAAATGTCATCTTCCCTGCCCAAGGGTGTGCTGTGATGGCAGCATGTCTGGGCAAGGGAGATGGGGCCTCTTTCATTCTGGCCCCACATCTGCTTGGGTGAGTGTCCTACCAGTGTCCTGGTACCCATGTTGCTGGGACAAGCCTGACCCTGCAGAACCAGGTGACACCTTCCAGAGGCAGAGTGCAGGAGAGTGTTAGAGACATGGGAAGCTTTGGGGTGAGTGAGGCCAGAGGGGGTTGATCTGATGGTCTGAAGCCTCCCTAGCACCCCACATCATGGCCTGAAGAGACAGGGAGCCCCCATTCCGGATGTCACAGGCTTCAGGCAGTGAACTCAGGGGACATCATCCCGATGTCATCTGATGGGACTGAAGTTTCCTTTTACGCAGAGGCTGGAAGAAGAGGCAGACCTGCTGAGCAAGGGAGAAGCAGAGTTTGCAGAAAGGACTCTAACACCGTTATAGTTTGGCAATACTACCACATTTCTGAGAAGAAAAAGTAGAGCCAAATATTCTATGTGGTTAGAGGAATAAAATATGGGGCTTAGTGGGCATACTTGATGGGGGAGTCATCAGGGAATGAAAAGGAGATAGTTTTTGTATTCTCTATCTCTGGGCACCAATGTGCTTACCAGGCCTTAATACTGGAAATGGATTGATTTTCTTCAGGAAGTCCTGGGAAAGAAATGGGCCCAGAGACTTAAAATTTTAAAAAAACCTAAAAACATCACGGGCATTCCTCTGGGAAGCAGCTGAAACAGCAGCCCTGGAGGGTTGTCAGGGACTCAGGCAAATGAAAGATTAAATGCTGATGCCCACTGTGGGACAAAGAGCGACCCTGTCATGGGGCGGCCTTAAGGATCTGGGCTTTCAGGACCAAAGTCATCTGGGTCCGGAGACACGGTCCCCAGGTGGTCTCAGCACTGAGTGTGTATGGAATCCTGCCTTGACGCCCAGGACCATTCACTGGAAGGGGAAGGGCCTCGGGGGAAGGACCCCAGGGCAGATGATGCCAGAAAGTTTCAGGGTAACTGGGAGTGTGGGGAGCTGCTAGAGGCTGATGACAAGAGGACACTGAGGACAGCGCTGGCCTGGTCCTTGCCATCAGGTCTCCCCTGCCTCTTCCATGCCTTGCTCTCTACTTCTTTCCTTGCTTTTCTTCCTTTTCCTGCATCTCTACAAAACCAGCTTTCCCTGCTGCTGCTCACAGATGTATATTTTCATTTTCTTTGTGAAGAAAGTACTGGCATGATGGAGGAGTTCCAGGGAGGGGCGAGGATGCCTTTTCAAGTGAGAAGTGTGAAATTAAAAGATTGCTGAAATGTCCCATGATCTCCTCATTTGTTCCTAGTGGCTAAGACCCTGGAGGCCCTCCCTGAGTTGGAAGTTGCCATCCCAACTCCTGGTGCTCCCGGTCAGCTCAGCATCTACCGTTCTCTTTGTAAGTTTCATGTAAACATGGCAGGATGCACACACATGGACACACACGTGCTAATTGTGCAAGAGTGAAATAGAGGTGGCGAATTAAAACCTGTGACTGCGCTGAAACAAAAAGAAGGAAGAAAGAAAGAAATCCAAGAACAGACACACAAGCAGAAGTGGCAGAAGTCCCGAGGGGATGCATGAGGGCGTTTCAAGGAAGATGCGCTAAGGACAGACATGGGCCAGCTCCAGGTGCACAGAGCCCTAGACCCAAGGCAGACAACAGGTGGGACCCCACCAGCTAAAGCGGATGCCCAACCCTCCAATGGCCTCACCTTCCCCAGCCTAGCAGAGTACATCGCAGAGCTCAGGCACGAAGCCCTTGAAAGGCAGCAGGCTGGTGCGATTCAGAAAAGTGCCTCTGACTAGATTCCAACTCCCAAGTGACTCTCCAGGGGCCCACAGGTGGGTCCTTTGATGGGCGTGCAGAGCCCTCCTGGCTGGTTTTCATTGCTGCCTGTGTGTGCTCTGTTCGTCCTGCTTCCTAGAGTTAGGGGCTCCTCCTCCTCCTGCCCACCAGGGAGGCCCGAGGGGACCCCCGGGTCAGGGACGGGGAGAGGACAGCACCACGATGCTTAGTAAGGACGCATGAAGTCCAGGAAGTCCAGACAAAGAAGAGAGCATTCAGTTTCACAACTGATATTTGAAACTTGTTCTTTAAAAAAAAAGGTTTTAGATAAACAATGAAGGGGGTGGGAAGGAGAAGCCTCACTGAATAATAATTGTTTTTTTTTAAAAAAAAAAAACTCCACAAACATTAAAAAAATCCCTCAGTTATTGAACTTGTGTTAAGAATAGTTCAATGTGAGGTCTTGCACCCTAAACAGGTATATATTTGGAAAAAAAATCGCAGCTACACACAGCAAAGACTAACAGTATTTACTTAAAAATATTGTGTGTGTCTATATATATATATATATATACTTATATATATATCTTTTTTGTGATTTTTTTTCTTTTCTTTTTTTTTTTTTTTTTTGTTTTGTGCCCAAGTAGAGATACGATGGGATTGAAATGATGCCCTAGAACAGAAATATTCTTTAAAGGAACAATACTTTGAAAAATAAAAAGTTTTTAAATGGTTGAACATACTTGCAACACCTGCAGAAATTCAACTTGATACAATGAGAAAATAAACAGTGGAATCAAATCCTCACCCAAATGGCACGGCCTCTAAGGCCTGGAGTCCGCTGCTGCTGTGAGTCTCGCCACCCAAACCAGGGCTCGTGGGCAGGCGGCATCCCTTCCCTGCCACTCCAGAGCCCCTGCCCCCATGCTCTGCTGAACCAATCCGTAATCCAAGTCCATCTTACATCAGTTTTGTATATCTCTGGCAAGACTTTGCAGCAGGGACACACACATATATACGTGTGCTATGGGCACACACACACATACACACACAAACACACACATACTACACACACAAAATTTCCCACTCAACCCAGATGCACCAGGTGAGCTGAATGATTTTCAGCCAACCACAACGGTGAAAGACAGAAGCACCAAACAGTCTTTGAAATGGGTCAGTTATTACAATTTTGACTTTTTATATATATGTATATATATATATTCTAGTTTTCCTCTTTGTGTTATTTTTTTTTTTTAAAAAAAGCACAAATGAAAAATGAAGAATTCTTTCCAGATCAATTTAAGGCTTCCCACCAAATGGAAACAGAAGAGGCTTTACACAATATCACATGTGATAAATGTCTACCGTTCACAGCCTTAAAATGATGGAACTAATCATTGTTGCCAGTCACTGATTAAGTATTGTGCCTTTAAATTGATGTCGTTCTTTTTGCTACTATGCTGAGTTTTATTATTACTGATTATGTATATAGAAATCTCCTTTAATTTGCTTTAGAATGTCCTGTCCTTACCGAATTATTGGGGTGGCTTTTTGTTTTGTTCTGGTTTGCTTTTCACTGGGAAACAAATGTGATTCTTGCTAGGCAAATGCTGAAATGGCACATAGTCAGCCTTCAAGTAGCTGCTCCAGCCATTTGAGTTTCAAACAGCCCTCGAGCTCCTAGAAGGCTCTGCGAAGTGGGGAGAAGGTCCGGAGAGGAGGAGGAGAAACTGAAAAGAGGGACGGGTTTTATGCTTTCGCTTTTGGTAAATTTGTTTTCTTCAATACAAATAATCAGATAGGAAGAATAATTGCTTTATGTTGTCTTTGTTGGTTGGTTTTTGTTTCACTTTTAGATTGTTTCATTTGATTGTTTAATTTCCCCTCTCCTGGTGCAAAAATCACCAGAGAGTTTTGCATGAGAAAACGTGACAGTACTTAATGAAACTCAGCACCTAAGGGCATAAGGCAGTTGAAGGTTTTTTGTTTGTTTGTGTTTGTTTTGTTTTGTTTTGTTCTTTCAATCAGCACCAATCCCATAAATGATCTACACTTGGTGTAAGGTAAAAAACATTTTTTTTTTCTTTTGGAGTGGAGACAACTCCTCCCTCTCCACTCTATGAACCATAGCGTGGGATTTTTCAATACTGTTTCTTATGTGTAAAAAACAAAAGAAAGGTTTTCTTTTTGTTTTTACTTACAAAACATAGAGAATATCTTTGTATACATACAGCGACTGGAAAGAAAGCTTATTTGAAGGGGTTGTGACTTATTAATTTTTTTTTTCTTTTGTAGTGGTGGTGTTGGTGTGGCGGTGTTGGTGGTGGTGGCGGTGGTTCTGTGTATTGGGGGAAGGGAGGGTTATATTTCTTGCAAGCGGTGTTTGCCGCAAACCAAACTTAAAGTCCCCTTCTCAATTTGGGTCAAGATGCTCTTAGAGTGAAGACTCATACTGTAGCAACTCATAGAGGAGTGGTCCGTCTCGATATCGAATGCCTACTGCGGTGGGGGTGATGTACTGCAGAATGTTAATAGTCCTTCTCAGCCTCCTGTCTACAAAATGAGCATCCCAAGCTGGGTATCGCTTTCTTGGCATGTCAATCTTAATGAGGGGCCCTTCTGGGAGGTAAGGACGCCCCAACGGGGTAGGGGGCCCCATGGGTCTCACTTGGAAAACGGGCAAGCAAGTGTCAGCCGTGAGATCCTCCTGTTGTTCCGTTACGGCTCTGGTGGGCGTAACCTGGGTCCCCCGGTACCCAGGGATCTGAGGCGCCATGGGCTCAACATCGGGGGGCAAAGGGATGCCCCAGAGCAGCTCGGCACAACAGGAGCTGGCAAGGATCTTAGCTCGTGGCCCCATGGGATGCAGCACACCATAGTATAAGAGCATCAGTGCGATCCCAGCCACAAAGCTAATAAAGACACAACACAGTGCTGGCACCGCATAGGAGTCAGTGGTCTCCGGGTCTCTGTAAAAATACCAAAGGAACGTCAAGGCAGCATTCTCGGTCAAGACTATCGTATAATATGCAAACATTCGATATCGAGTCCGCCCTTCCTTGACGTTAAACCAGCAGAAAATGTACACGATCCCTACCACCATGTTGAAGAGGATCTCCTCCCACTTGGACATGCAGAAGTCTGTTCCGCCATGGATGATCCAGAAGGCCATGGCGCACCAGTGAACCACCACGAAGATCCCAAAATAGAGCTGGAAGATGGAAGCAAAGAGGGCAAAAGAGATCACTCGGGATGAGATGGTGAAGAGGCGCCAGAAGAGCTGGATGACGGCCCCTCTGTAGCTCATGCTCTTCTTGTCGTCCCTGGAGTCCCGCAGCAGCTTGTGATAGGAGGCTAGCACCCAAGCCAGGGACATCAGGGAAGTCACAGAGGAGACACCTGCCGGAAAGACACAAACCCACACAGTCAAAACCTCGGACATCAACCGCAGGGCACAGCGAAGCTGCCGGCTGAGGAGACGCCCACATACACCACGATCTAAAGGAGGAGGGAGAAAGAAACACAGAATCAGGAACCGAACTCGGAGGTCACAGCTGCTCCCTACGCTGACAACTCGGGAGATGGAGCTTTTGTTTCAACAACCCCATTTGCCATTTTGGGAGCTCATTGGCTCAAGGGTGATACTGAGCCAGTGTGTTTTGCTAGGGGGCTGAGAGGTGGGGCCACATCTGCCATGGGCAGGCCTTTGTGGGTTCAGTCTTAAGGAATCATGCGATTGTTGTGGCACACAGATGTGCAGCTGGCATTGGTGTCCCTGTCAGCAGTAGCCTGTTCTCTTAGAGGAGCCCACAGGAGGAATCACCAATGTGAAGACCAAGGGTTTACCCACTGCCTTGAGTTCCACACTGTTCTCCTCTGAGAAGGTGCTGGAATCATGCTTCTGCCTTTTTCTCACCTCACTCAAAGTCCCAAAAGTCCCTTTCCTGAACCTTCTTCCAGTTAGCTTCTCCCCCACCTGCCACTCAAGGCCACCAAGATCCAGGACACTGGGATATCCCGCCCGTTTCACAGACTTCCTCTCACACCCACTCTGGTCTTTTCGGTCTCTCCACAATCCCTGTTGCTTTCTCCAACCGACTGCTGCTCAGAGTGCTCTTAAGCCTTGACTTGTGAAGCTCTGTCCTTCTCTGGTTGCCCTCTGGGTTCAACAGTGGTGTCACTCGGGCTTTGGGGGTGCCTCTTCCCCTTACTCATTTTCCAAGGCTTCTGAGGCCTCTGCACTTTACTCCCTGCATTTCCTCCCACAATGGGCAAATATTCAGAGAGTTTGAGTGTGCCTAATCCCAAGTCATACTCATATTGCCATAGAGCAATTTTATATACAACTCTGACTACTTGATATTTGCAACTAAACCAAATCAAACACAATCCATTGTTATTGAAGTCTCCCCAAATCCACCCGTGAACAACCAGTCATTATTCGAGTGCTGTCATACAATCTCCATTTAAGCAAGATTCCCCCATTACCAACCCCCAGCTCCCCGTGCATCAGTTGCACAGTCCATCTGGGGTCTCTTTTGTTGGTCTTTTCTCCCAAAATTTCACAACTAAATGTAAGTAAATGCAACAGGAGGCCGAATGCTGTCCCACTGGCAATGACCTCCCTAGGAAAGCCTTACCCTCCCACAGAGCACAGTTTCCCCACAACATTCTTCCAGGTTGAAATCAAAGTTACCCAATCATTTTCTCCCTTAAGCTCAAAGGTCAGATCCAGAAGCCTCATTCATCAAGACACCAATTAATCTTCCCCAGACCGCCAGGCTTCTGCTTGTCTCTCCCTGGGACCTGCCCAATTCCCCACAACTCTCCAAAGCCCGATGAAGAATCCAAGTCCTCTGCCACGTGACACTCTCCCAGCACTGGCTCTGCTTCGCGCGTCTCACAAAGGCCCCCTCCTTCCATCATCTCAAATGATGCTCAGAGTCCTAGCTTGAAGAACAGGCAATAAAAAAGCCTGTCAACTGCTACAATGGGCATGTGTCACTTTGACAGTAATAACAACCATGGAGATTTGAAACAAACAGGGGCAACACGATCCCAAGTTCTCCATGGAAATCTATCTGGAAAACATCTAAAGAGCATTCATGGCAATTTTCCTTTCACTTCTCTAGCAAGTTCTGGACATGACACATGTCCTGCCTCCCTTGTGGTACACACAGGGCATCTCATGTGTGTCTGCAGAGGCTGCACATGGTTGGTCAGGGAAACTTTTAGTGCTCACATTGTCTGTTAGGCTGCAGCAGGGAGGAGAACTTCCCTTAGGAGTAACGTGATGTAGGTTGCAGATTTCTGGAGGGCAGAGGATGTATAATTACATTTTTTTTTTTTTTTTTGAGACAGGGTTTTATTACCCTGTCGCCCAGACTGGAGTACAGAGGCGTAATCAGTGCTCACTGAAGCCTCAACCTCCTGTGCTCAAGTGATCCTCCCGTCTCCCATACCTGGGACCACAGGCATGTGCCAGTGAGCCCAGCCAACTTTTTTATTTTTATTTTTTGTAGAGACAGAGTTTCTTCTTCTGCTTCTTTTTTTTTTTTTTTTTTTGATTTGAGATGGGAGTCTCACTCTGTCACCCAGGCTGGAGTGAAGTGGCATGATCTCCACTCACTGCAACCTCCACATGCCAGGTTCAAGCGATTCTCCTGCCTCAGCCTCCTGAGTAGCTGGGACTACAGGCACACACCACCATACCTAGCTAATTTTTGTATTTTTAGCAGAGACAAGGTTTCACCATGTTGGCCAGGTTGGTCTTGAACTCCTGACCTCAAGTGATCTGCCCACCTTAGCCTCCCATTGTGCTGGGATTACAGGCATAAGCCACTGTGGCCAGCCTAGAGACAGAGTTTCAACATGTTACCCAGGCTGATCTCGAACTTTTGGCTCAAAAAATCCTCCCACTTTGACCTCCCAGAGCGCTGGGATTACAGGCATGAGTCACCGCGCCTAGCTGAAATCACACCTTCATAGTCTGGACCCAGCACTGAAGCACCCTCAAAAATTTCCATTAAACATCCTCCTGACATCCTCGCTCTCCAGCCGAATTCATTGCTTGATGTTAATCATGAACGTCTGGTAGGTCCTGCCAACCCATAGTAATCAGATGGGAGTTCTACGGGAGCTGGGTGGGAAGAAGGCTTGATTGTTGTGTTCCTTCTGATAAAGCAAACTCTATTACCTTCTACTCAGAAAAGCAAAAGTGCTGAGCTCATAAAGCAAGAAGGCGTAGCTCAGCTTCTGCTGGGGCCTGGTCAGATCCAGTCGAGTTCTGAGCATGCTTTGAACAGACTTGCGGTGCAGAGTTAGGATCACCCTCAGCCTTCGTTGTTCTGACTTTGCTGTTCTCTGTGCTGTGACATTGGCCCTGTTCACACCAATTATGAATAAATGGGAATTCAAATGCCCCTCAGCCACAAATTGCAAAGCCAAATAGAATTCTTCTCCATTCTTCCGCCTTCAGAGTTACCTACCCCATTTCCAGATGTGTGGCTATGGTTCTGAAGACTGGTGTTCTCTTCCTGCCACTCCCTTCATGGCGGTGGTGCTGAAACTACTGTTGTTTCAGCTGACCAGGCACTGCAGTTGAGGCTTCTAGAATTTCTCCCAAGGGTACTGCACAAACATTCCTCAGTGTTGCAAGACATCACTGCTAACTTACAAGGAGGGCTTGGGAAATGGTCCCATGGAAGACTGTGATTCCAGGCATCTGACTGCGGAGTCTGCTGGAGAGCTAATGGCCAGCCCAGTTTTAAGTCTCTGCTTCATCTGTTCCTGACTTGGTCAAGTTATGAATGGCAAAACCTTCTATCCAGGGGAGCTTCTCAGACCACCCACTTTAACCCACCTATTCCACAGGAAGCAGAGGTGCAGGGGCTTGGGTAGCTTCCTCAAGACTGTCCTGAGAACCACTGGCCATCTCTATGAGGACGGCATGCTTCCTGCCATGCCACTCTCCATCCTTTCTCCATCTGGTCCCTCTGTCAGTTCAGTTTTCCAGATATCCAGCAGGCAACACCTTTCTCAAGGTCCTTTGTACTGAAGGTCATCAGCCTTCTCCAATGGTGGGAGCCTGTTCTGGTGTCCAGCCATTAGCTCTTCAGAGTTGCAATGCCAGGCCACATCCTTGACACTGTGAAATGCTCCAAACAGTGAAAGGAGAAGGTGAACTTCCACCACCTGCCCAAGATCAAAAAGAACACCTTTGGCCACACAGAGCAACGGGGAGTGGGTGTACAGGCCTCGTGCCCCTGAAGTGCCTGCCCTTCTCTCTCTCTGCCAGCAACAGAGGCAAGGATGATCCTGTGAGGAGGGGAATTGCCTGGGGGACGTCAAAACTCTTACCCCCATCACTTTCTAATCCACCTCATCACCAAAGCATTCCCCATTCTATCCAAGGCTCTGAGCACATTTTTGGGGACCAGAGCTGGTGCAGTTGGTAGGCTGAGTTCATCCCTGAGAAGAGACCAGGAAAGCCAGGCCCACTTCAGGACCCCATTTGGGAACAGGTTTCTACTGAATGCTTAACAGAGGGTAGTCCTTGCCCTGGTGGGACTCAAAAACCTGTGATGGAGGGCATCAATGAATGTGTCTTCAGCCTGCCCCCCAGGAACTCATCTGGACCTGTCTGTGACATTGTCTACATTGTTACGTTTGGTCAAGGGACCAAATGTTCATCGCTCAGCCACTTCTGCATCTTTTCCCTGAACAAGTCCTGCAGCCCCCACAGGACTGTCACTGCAATTCTTCCTCAGAGGGCCATCAGCAAAGGGTGCCTTGAGGACAGCCTGTGAATTCTGGGGACTCAATTGGGGCAGGAGATGGGAAGCTAGGACAGAAGATGCACTTCTTGCTCTGAACCCTCCCCATCCGTGCACCTGGTTGTCCCGGAGAACCTAGCAGGATTCACTGAGCATCTACATGCATTTTCTTATTGAGAAGGGCCTGGGGAGGCAGGTGCTAAGTTGTGTCTCCCCCACAAAATCCATATACTGAAGCTCTAACCCCTAGGACCTCAGAATGTGGCTGTGTTTAGAGATAGGGCCTTTAAAGAGCCGATTAAGGTAAAACGAGGCCATTAGGGTGGACCCTAACCCTATGTGACCGGGTCCTTCTAAGAAGTGGAGATTAGGACACACACAGGGGGATGACCATGTGAGGACACAGCCAGAAGACAGGCGTCTACAAACCAAAGAGAGAGGTCTCAGGAGAGATTTCTCAGACCAGTAGCACCTTGATCTGCAGTGCTCTGTGACCGCAGCCTGAGCAGACGCATACTGTACGGACAGAACCATGCACAACCACCGCCAAGTGATTCATCTTCAAAGCTTGCTGTGTGTTCTGTTACAGAGGGAGGGAGTGCAGGTTCTTCCTTCTCTGCAGTG